CGCCCCCACCTGCCAATTCATTAGTTCTGGCGACCTCAGGACCTTTGCACTTGCTGTTTTCAAGCCTGGATCATTTCCCCAAAGCTCTGCATGGCTTCAGATGTCACTGCCTCAGATGCCCTCTGTGACAGCACTCCTGACCCCCAAGCTGGATGCCAGTCACATCAGCCAGCTCTGTACCCTCACAGCATGCCCCTCCCTGTTGATTTGTTCCTCGTGGAAAGTCTGCCTGCCCCACATAAACAGTGAGTTCCTGGAGAGCAAGGATCTTTCTGTGTTTGTCATTGCTCTTTTCTCCTATGCCTAAAATCACTGTAGAGACTCAATAGTTTTTTAATTGATGAAAGCCATTGACGAAAGTCCTGACTTCTTTCCGGAAATGTTTCAGAACCTATTGGAAATATAGACTTATCTATAAAAAGATCACAGCGGAAACAAAAAAATCATCGCTATTGGCTGGAATCAGCAAATGAGAATTCCAGTACATCCCAGGGAGTAATGGCTCTGATCGGCAAGGACCTGGGCCTTTTGTCAATTTACAAAAACACAAATAAAGTAATTATAACTTAATGAATGTGGTTTGGCAGACAGACACTCGCCAACTGGAGGAAGAACAATGGACAGGGATGGAGAGTGGGCTCTAGGAACAACTGCCCAGGTCCACCCCTGCCCGCTGTATGAGCTCAGGCAAGTCACAGCACCTCTCTGGGCCTCAGAACCCTCAGCTGTAAAAAAGGGGTTCACAGCAGACCTGCCTCTGAGGGTTGCTGTGAATGTGAAAGGAAGGGAGTGTGTAAAATGCTTGGAAAGATGCTTGTACACAGGAAGTGTCCTGTAAATATAGATGTCCACTATTACCTGTATTCTATTGGGGGACATGGGAGAAAAAAATCATAGAGAGGTCCTTGGTTGAAAATCAGTTTAGTCTAACCTGCATCGCTTTTTGGTAACAGCTTTGTTGAGATATAATTCAGCTACCATAATACCCATCATTTTAAAGTGTACACTTCACTGGTATCTAGTATATTAAGAGTTAGGCAACCATCACCCCAAAATTGAGAGCACTGTATCACTCCCACACACAAAAAAAACACAAAAAAACCTTAGCAGTTCCTCTCCAATTCCCCCTCCACCCAGGTCCCTGGCAACCACTAATTTGCCATTTTCATAGATGGGGAAACTGAGGCTTGGAGAGGGGAAGCAACTTGTCCAAGGTCACTAAGCAGAGTCTCAGGACTCAGAACCCTTACTCCAGCTATTTCTCCACTGCACCACCTGCCCCCAACTCAGGAGCCTCCTTCCCTGTGAGCCTGGACGCCCCCCACGCACACATATATACACACACCCCGAACCTCCTCTCTCCCACCCCTGCCCCCTGAGGTGCTCTCTTTGGGGCTTTACTCACGGAGTCCAATCTTGGCCAAGTGCAACCTGTTGACCCAGGAGATCTTGCTCAGGGGGTTGGGGGTGATGAAGACCACCATGAAGCTGATGGGGCGGCCGGACCTTCGGTGAGAAGGGCGAGGACTGTGAGTGCTCGGAGCAAGGCCCTGGCTTCCCCTGGGCAAGCTCCCAGCTCTTCCCTCAACCCATGTGCCTTAGAGAAAAAGCAAGTTCTGTTCAGAGCATCAAAGTGTCGCCAGAGAGGCCGGTGGCTGCCCAGCAAAGCCTCAGTCCCCTGGGGAGGAGTCCCTCTACCCCACATAGCCCCAAGAAGAAGGCACCTCCCTCAGAGTGGCCAGGCCACACTCTGCAGGAGCCTTGGCTTGGGTGCCAAGCAAGTCCAGAGGTGTCTGGCCCTCTGTGGGCTGTGACGTGAGAGGCCCTTCCAGGGCTCCACCTGGCCAGCTTTCCACGGGCCTTATCAGACACCCGCACGTGACTGACTGGGAGCCTCTGCAAGAAGGAGCGAGTCTCACTCGGGTCTGTTCCCAGCACCCGGCACAGGGCAGCTGCCTGGTAAATGTCTGCCGAACGGACACATGAATGAATGAAGAAATGAATGAATGGGGTTATGCCCAGGCTTGGGGCAGCTGGACGTCACTGTTGCCACCACACTGTCATCTCACCTTGGAGCATCAGGGGCCCCTTGGGTGTGAGGCATGGCCCTCAGTGCGTACACACCCATTCCCATCACAGCAATACTATCAAATAGGACCGCTCCGGGTGCCCCCCTGGATACCCCCACTTCATCGCTGGCGCCTCCGCTCTCACTTGTCAGGTTTCCCGGGCAGGAGGAGCCTGAGGCGGCACTTGTTGGCCGAGTGGATCTCTTCCTCCTTCACCCGCATCAGCCTCTGCAGGGCCAGGCACCAGTCTTGAGCCACAGTCATGTTCAGGTTCTAGGGTTGAGAAAGTGAATGAAGTTAACACATAGCTCACTAGCTCCCCAGAAGCCACACCAGATCCAACAGCAGCTGGGGCGCCCCAGGGGAGAGAAGCTGGGGACAAGTCATGGAGAGCAGCCTGGACACCCGTTCAGCCACAGGCAGGAGGCTGACTCCCCTGGGCTCTGGGGGCGGGCAGGCTGCTCAGCCCTTGGTTCAGGTACCACCTGGCACCCCTGCTTTGAGAGGGACACACCCTCCTAGCCAGCTTCCTCTCCAGCCTGGGGCAAAGCCAAGAAGGGGCCACAGGACGGACTGGCCACCGTGCAGAAAACAGTAACAACAAAAAATGCGGGGCAGCCAGGCCCCTCTCAACCTGAACTAGAGCTTCAACCAGGGGTCACACACCAGATTTCTAGGTAGCAACAGGGGGTGTAGCCACTTCTCCTGCTGTGGGAACTCAGAGTCAGCCCATCAGGGGAATGGGCCAGGAGAACAGCCTCCCCCCC